GTCATTTTTCCTTGATCTAAATTTTAATCCCAGCCCTTTTCCCATCATTTGCCTTTCTAAATTTATTTAATCCCAGCCCTTTTCCCATATTTTTTCCTTTCTCTAAATTTTAATCCCAGCCCTTTTCCTGTAATTTTCCCTTTCCAGGTTTTAATCCCACCCCTTTTCCCATCATTTTTCCTTTCTAAATTTAGTTAATCCCAGCATTTTTCCCGTAATCTTTCCTTTCCAAATGTTTTAATCCCAGCCATTTTCCCATAATTTTCCTCTGCATGCTTTAATCCCAGCCCTTTTCCCAGCATTTTCCCTTTCCATGCTCTAATCCCAGCCCTTTTCCCACCATTTTTCTTTTCTCTAAATTTTAATCCCAGCCTTTCCCCATCATTTTTCCTTTCCAAATGTATTTAATCCCAGCCCCTTTCCCACCATTTTCCCTTTCCCTGTCTTAATCCCAGCCCTTTTCCCATCATTTTTCCTTTCCATGCTTTAATCCCAGCCCTTTTCCCAACATTTTCCCTTTCCAAATGTTTTAATCCCAGCCTTTTCCCCATCATTTTTCTTTCCAAATTTATTTAATCCCAGCCCTTTTCCCACAATTTTCCCTTTCCCCGTCTTAATCCCATCCCTTTCCCCATCATTTTCCTTTCTAAATTTATTTAATCCCAGCACTTTTCCCATAATTTTTCTTTCCATGTTTTAATCACAGTCCTTTCCCCATAATTTTTTCCTTTTAAAATGTTTAAATCACAGCCTTTTCCCCATCATTTTCCCTTTCCAATTGTTTTAATCCCAGTGCTTTTCCCATAATTTTCCTTTTCTATGTTTTAATCCCAGCCCTTTTCCCATCATTTTTCCTTTCTAAATTTATTGAATCCCAGCCCTTTTCCCATCATTTTCCCTTTCCCTGTCTTAATCCCAGCCCCTTTCCCACCATTTTTCCTTTCCATGCCTTAATCCCATCCCATTCCCACCATTCTTTCCCTCCTCCCTGGGCGGTGTCTGGGGGCCGCGGTGCTCTCGGCCGCGCTCGAGGCCAACGCCCCGGGGCCAGGAAGC